GAATAATGACCTGCACCGGTGCATTGTGCCGTGCCCCCAGGGGGTGGGGGATCGACCGCAACACGGGGTCGGGGGCCGGGAGGACCCCACTTCCACGACCCGCCTGTCTTGGGACGCGGCCAAAGCAATCGTGTTTTGAACGCGAACCCCCTCGCGGTGCGATTTGCTTCGCTGCGCCACACTCTGCCACTTCGCAGACTTCATCGGCACTAAGCCCCCGGGGGTGTTCTTCACCACCGTCAGTGCACCCAGTGTACTATCATCCCTAGTTTTTCTCGGTTTCTCCCAGTGTACTTCACCCCTAGTGTGCCTGCCCCAGTTGTACTTCGATCCTCGCCCTTGCTAACTCTGCCCATGTTGCTGTTGCAGTGCTCGTGTCCGGCACCGAGGCTGTGGTGGGCGGCGTGGCCAGGCTGCCCTGCGACCTCACGCCACCACTGTCCGGCGACCAGGTGTGGCTCGTCATCTGGTACCGCGAGGGCAACACCAAGCCATGCTACAGGTGAGTGGAAACGACTCATTTTGGTCTGTTTTTTAAAAATTTAAAGAAGACGAAGACAAAAACAAAATATGATTGCATTTTCACACTCCATATGCAATTCCATATGTCATGTAATGGGTGACAAGATATTTTTAAGACACAGTGTGCAACTCCATAACACTTGTAAGCCGAAAAGGGTTAAATGCACGCTGGTTTCTTGACACTGTCCGCAGCTACGACGCACGCGCGCGCACGGAGAGCAAGGCCGGGACGCACTGGAGCGACGACAAGGCGTTTGGCGGTCAGGTGACGTTCCGCGAAAGTGAGAGCCCGGCGCACCTCACCATCGAGAACGTGCGCGAGAGCGACGCGGGTGCCTACCGCTGCCGCGTGGATTTCGGCCGCTCCCCCACCCGCAACGCAAGAGTCAACCTCACCGTCATCGGTAAGTCTGCGGTCCAAAACGAGACGTGTCCAACGTACCGCATCTCTTCTCATCCCCCCGGTTTCACATGGTTTAGCCTACGTGAAGAGTTAACTTTTTTTTTTATTTCCGACTGCGTACATAAAATAAATTATCATAGCTAGACCAATGAGACTGTACTTAATCCTACTGCATGAAATTGATTTCTGCACGGTTCTTTAAACACTGACGTCCCATAGTGATAAATACAAATTCTGAAAATCAAAGTGTGTAATAGGTCTAACGTGTTATTGACGCACGCCCTACTTTTAGTTCATAACAGTTAAAAATTGCACTCTGAAATAATGTTGCTGTTCAAATTTTTAACCTGCAACAAATTTCTACATTTCATTCTGGGATTTTCTGTAAATTACATTTCAGACAGTCCAGTGTAATGTGTGTGTGTGGGGGGGGGGTGAGATGCCAAGCTCGCTCTCTCATATTGAGGCGCCGCTCGCTTTGCGCCGTCCTTTGGGCGCATGCCGATATTGACCGCACGACTCGGGCGCACGACCCTGGGCAGCTCAAACAAGGGCCTACTTTTGAACCCCGCCCGGACCCCCTCCCCGCGTGCCACAACAACTACTTTGGCCCTCTCTCCTCGGCCGCCTCTGCTGCTGTGGGGGCCCCGACCCGACCCGGCGGCGAGGCCGAGTGGCTAGCGAGCTGTGGCGGAGTGGCTGTGGGCGTGGAACTTGTTGAGTGCCCGTCAGCGAGTACCGCTCGCCCGCCCGGGCTGTGGGGAGCGCCCGCGCTGCGGAGGGTAGGCAACGCGGAGCGCACGGCAGCGCGGCGGGCCGGCGGCGCCCGGGTGACGGGCGGCGGGCCGGGGCCGGGAGAGAGTAGCAAGGAGCGGGCGTCGGCGGCGGCTCGGAGCAGAAAAGTGGCAGGTTGTGGAGGAGGGGGAGGGCGGCGAGCTCGCTACTAACAGCTAATGGCGGAGCCCTGTTCGCCCCGCCCGCCCCGCGCAGCACCTCGCCCTTAAAGCCTGTCGCGGCCTTCTTCCATATCGGAGGCTGCTGGGGCGAGGGACGCGGGGTCCGGGCGGGGAGGTGGGCGCTAACCCATCAGTCAGTCACGTAAGGCCCTCGCGCATGTCATTAAGTCGGTGTACCCGGCCGAGCGGAAGAGGCCCGGGAGGGGCTGGGTGGGCTCGATTGCAGTGGAATAGGCCCGACATGCAGCTGCGTCTCACAAAGTCCCCCCTCCCCTCCCTTTCCACTTTCGTACCGCATCTTCAGTCCCCTTGCTCGTGAGGCGCTGCGACAGCGCCATCCAGTACATCGGACGGAAAGGGGAGGGGGGGGGGGAGTAGGGGGCGCCTGCTGGAGGGAGAGAGCGGAGGGCGTCTGGGCGCATCAGGCAAAATTGGCTGATATCACATGCCTAAGTAAGCCCCCTTCACGAGAGGGTGGAAAAGAGAAAAGTGGCGCAGCAAGCAGCAGGGAGGGAGATAACCTGCAGAAATAAGAGTTCGAAATGTTAAGGAGGGAAATATGTAAAATGATGGGTGGTCGACGTTGGAAAAGAGGAGGTCCTTCGAGTAGGGCAGTAAAAGGCAACTAGGAGATGGCCTGCTGCTATTATAGCGAGGGGGCGGAGCGGAGTTTTCGTCACAGCCAGGCAGCACAAGCTTATGATTTCAAAGTCTTCGCTCAGGATTACGCACTTTGCCATGACGCGCCGCTGCTGGCCCCGCCACGCCGAGGGCACGCCCCCTCTTAGTGCCCCTTATCCGGCTGTTGCCTTCACTCTTAATTTGTGCCGGTCGCGCTTAGTTGGACGAAAGTACGGGCAACTTGGGCTGAAATGAAAAGTATATGGCATTTGTCGTTGGGAAAATGATAGCAGCAGGCGGTTCTCCCCTCGACTATATCCTTTTTCTGCGGGTAGAAGTGTACGTCGGCGGGCCCGCCCCCCGCCTCCCCTGCGCAGGCCGGCGGTGGCCCCCCTCAGCCTCAAAGAGAGAGCTTGATTATGGACTGGGGCGGGGGTGAGGGCTCTCATGGAAATGCAAACCAGAATTCTTATGATTGCGGGTTCTTATGAATCCTCCACCATGAATCTTTCAGGAATTGCAGATGGCGTTTGGGGCGTAATGCCACATAAGCTATTTCATCTGCTCCACCTGACTAACTGTCTGGCGCGCGCAACTCGACCGAGCTTGCGTGCGTGTGGCAGGTTGTATGGGTGAGCGGCGCCCTGCCGCTCTCGCAGTTCCAGGAAAGGTACCGCCCGCCTTGAGTTTCTCTTGGGCCCGCTCTGTCCGTGAAGCAGGCTGTACGGTTGAGGGGCACGCTGTCGCAGTTCCAGGAAGGTACAGGTCCTTGATTTGCTCTTGCGCCACCTTTTGTGCCGCCCACTCCCTCCTAGTCCGAGTCCGCGCCCTGCCAATGACGAATTTTTAATTAAGGAGTGCACCGGACGCTTCTGAAGTTGTAGGAAGAGGAGGGATAGAGAGGAGAAAAAGAAAAGACTGTTGAAGTCAAAACAAACAAAAAAGGCACGGTTTTCCTCCAGCTGGCCTGTGAGGCGGTCGCGCAGTGCGTTTTCCTCCTCTCATTCTTCTGCACGCGTCGCAAACTCGGGGGAAACTCTCGGCCCTCGGCCGCCGCGCCAGGGGGCTGACGTCGACGCGTCGACGGGTGTTGGCCAAGGGCGTTAGCGTGGCACAACAAGAAGCATGGTTACTGATGACTAATTCTATTTCCAAAGACTATTATGAACGATGGTAAGCGTCATTTTGCTCATGTGTACTGATTTCGGGGAATCTAGACGATGTGCTGTCACACTTCTCAGGGTAGCGAGGGGCGGTGTGGCCCAGGAGGAGGGAGGGGGGGGGGGCAGTCCGCACTTGTCACGCTTCTTTACGACCGCGCCCGCCGGCCTGGCGACGTGTTGTTGTTGTTCAGCTTAGATCCTTCTTCGTTGTCGCCTGGCGCTCCCCGCCCTGCCCCGCCCCGCCATACGCCAGACCTGCCGTTTCTGATGGGAAAAAGATAACTTCCTCTGGGCCCGTGACGTTGATTTTGGTCTTGGCGGAGGTGTACTTGCGACGGAAGCGGCTCCTGTGTGTGTGTGTGGGGGGGGGGGGGGGGGTCGGTTCCCTCTCCGTACGCCGCCATGCCTACCACTTGGCTTTCTCCTCAGTCGACCCACCTTTCGCTTTTCCAGTATCCCCCGGCAAGTTTTAACGATTTTTTCCCCTCCACCCCCCCGGGTGTTTCCAGTCCCGCCGAAGAAGCTGCAGATCGTGGACCAGAGCGGCGCGGAGATGAAGGACGGCGTCCTGGGGCCCTTCAACGAGGGCGAGACCATCAACGTCACCTGCATCGCTGTCGGAGGTGAGTCCGAATCAAACTTGTGCTCGGCAGGCGAACTCCACCGCCGCCGCCGAGTTGTGTGTGCCGAGGCCCACCGCCGCCACACAGGAGTATCAGACCCGGCGGAAAGAGGCGCCCCGCCTTTTTCCCCTTCGCGTCTGAAACTTTTACGGAGTAAAAAAGCGTGTGCGTGTGTGTGTGTGTTTGCTCCAGGCTGGCCCGCGCCCCGCGTCACATGGTGGCTGGAGAACGCTCTGGTGGACGACACGAGCGAGCACGTGACCGACGGCAAGGTGCAGAACGTGCTGCGGCTCGAGCGGCTTGAGCGGAAGCAGCTCAACTCGGTGTACACCTGCCAGGCCGCCAACAACCAGCTGGCTGCTCCCGTGTCGACCGCCGTCACCCTGGACCTCAACCGTGAGTACTATAACGACGAAGATCGAAGGAGCGTAGCAGACGGCGACCGTGCCGAGATAAAAAATAATATTTCCAGCCGGGCAGTCACTAAACGTTTGTATATGTAGCTCCGGACTTTGTCCCTGCTCGAAATTAGATATTGCTTCTCCATTCGACTTTGTGTGCCGTGTCAGTAGCTTTCTTAAAGTGGGCTCTAAACTGGTGCTGCGTTGTTTAGCTTTCAGCGCTTAACAGAACAAGGCAACGAAAAAACTTTGATCCGGACATACGAAGCGTAATAGTACTTAGCCAGAATCATTTTTTCTTTGTGTATACATGATATACATTAGTATCAACATCAACATGGTGACCACAGTGTCGATCAACGTGGCGACCTTCCAGCATAGGCGTATAAGTGACCTCACGCCAAAAAGCCAGGTGCGATCCATAGGCCTCCCACCCCGCCCAGCGTTCTAGCCGCAAAAAAACGAGGTCGCCCGTCGAGACGAGCTTCTGATGAGCTGCTCTGTCCCACTCGGCGCCGGCGCCTCGCACATTCTCATACACTTGCCTTAATTAAATACCCGAGCATAACAAAACTTTGCAGCAGCAGCCGCGGCGGCGGCGGCAGGCGCCAGCAGGCGTCAAGCCCAGGTGGAAGTTTTGCGCGGCCGAGCAGAGGCGAGCATCAGGCGCCGCCCCGCTGGAACTGACAAAGTGGCGGTCTGCTACTTTCTTTTAATCGTCACTGCTCGCGGCCACTCTCGCCGCCGCTATCGCTTTGGCGGTGCGTTACCCATCAGGAATTCTTTCAGTCGCTGGAAAGTTTTTGCATGGCGGCCGCGCGCACCGTGCTAACCGCGCGACCTCCAGGAGGGTCTCCTGCAGCCCGGGGCCGCGGGGCCCGGGGTGTCTCTGCTTGTTTCCCTGCACCTTCACGCGCTGGCGAGAGACCGTTGTGCGGGGCGGGGAGGCCAGGCCGGGTCGGGCCCCAGCGGCCCTCTCCTGCCGGTCTTGGAATGACTCCAGCGCCCGCTAATGAGTCCATAACCCTCGTCAGCGGTCTCGGCGGGGCGGCTGGCTGGAGCCGAGGCTGGAGGGGCGGGGGGCGGGGCGAGGTGTGGCGGACTGTGGCTGACCCCTCTCGGCCCGCCGAGGCGCGCCAAAAAAAGAATACGTAATATTTACGCGGTCAGCCCCGCCGTGCAGCGCGGGTGAAGGGCCGCGCCGCCACAGGACGTTTTTCCCTTTCTCGCCACTGTTCCTCGTGTGATTTCTCGCAGTCGCAGCAGAAAGACCCCCCCCCCTTATTTTTCGCATGCGTGGCCGTCATCCCCTCATCTCATCGGTTCTAGAACGAAGCCCAAAACTGTGTTTGTCCTTTAGCCCGAGGTCTAGGCCCTACGACTATTGGCACGAAATTGAATAACTACGTGTGTTCAACTTAAGTTTTATTCGAGTTTGGAACAGAGGTGGGCTGAGAACTCTCCGATAACATTTTAGATGCCGTCGAGACTCGCTTCCTACCGTCCCTAGGGTCGCCAAGGTCCGCGGCGCGGCGCCAGCATTCTCCAGCCTCCAGCAGGCGACTAGCGAGCTGACCTCGGAGCTGACTCATCGGCAGCCCAGCTAATGCCATGTCCTTTCTCTGTCCCAATCTCTTCCAGGTCTCTCTCATTTTCTCGTTCCCCCCACCTCCCCCATCTCTTTCCTAGCCCCTTTTCGCTTCTTTATTTCTCTTTTTATTTTTCTGACTGCCTTACATATGTTTTACCAAAACTTCCTCAGTTTTTAAAGCCTTTTTTCCTCAAGAATTAACCAAGTTGGACATCGGGACTTTTTTCCATCAGAAAGATCGTGTCTAAGTAGTAAAAACCGTCCCTAGAACCCTTGAAAAATGATATGTATAATGCCTACTAGAGAAATATTATTGCAAAATTGTCGTAAAATGGAGTAAAAATCTTGCGCGCAAGATATCTCAACACCTGTTTAACCTCTACATACGTCTAAATTGACAGAGGGGTCTGGGTCAATTTATAGGTACATATATAAAAAAGGGTTTAGCAAAAAAAAATAGAAATGATGGCCAACTGCTGACACCATTAAGGTTCATTGTTCAAATCTTTAGGGCATGTTACCTTCATTATAGTTTGGGAACCAAACTTGTACGATGTGAAAATGTTAAACAATGAACGCACAAACTTTTCCAAGCCTATTCCCGCGTGGGATGCTCTTCGCCCGCCTCTGAAGGTGGAAGCAGCGCGACGGCCCCCTTTTGCGCAACACGTGTGCGCCCGAGCCATCTTTCTTCAAAAGACCACACCTACTGCTTCCTCCCTCTCCTCCTCCCCACCTCCCGTCCTCCTCTCCTCTCCTTACATTGTCCCACCGCCCACCCCAGCCCCGCACCACCCGAGACGGGAGCGCCTACCTATGTGCCCGCCGAGCGTCAGAGTCCATTAATCCCAGGAAGCGCCAGAGAATGGCCCTGAGTACGTACCCCGGCAGCCGGGCTATGGGACGACAACCCTCTCGGTGCGGCTGGGGTTTCTTTCCACGTCTTTGTCGCAGAAGTGAGAGCGAGATCTCGCCCTCCCCCCCTTCCCCCCATTTTCCCCTTGCTCCGCACTTGCGCCGTCCTTTCGCAGCGTAATATTTGGTGAGGCACACAAACCGCGGGATTCTCACCAAGTGAGTTCCTCTAGGGGGCCTTCAAGTCGGGTGTTGCTGGGTAGTGGAGCCGTGCGCACTGCGAAGGCGTACGTGAAAAATCGGGCTTGACACGTGTCAAGAAGATTAGGAAGAATTTTGAAAATGAGTTGTCTGGAAAATCAAGAAATTTCATAGGAGAAGTGGCTTCAGGTGCCTTGCCGCCCGCGAGAGCGTGGCGTATTGCCTCTGGGTCGCACTTTGCTTGAAATTTTAGGAAAAGCAATTTTTTCGACCAGGCTAAAGAAATTATTTTGCAAGCTGGTTTATTATGTAATGCTTGCAAATTGTTTGGAAGTTGCGGTTGCGAAAACTTTTCTTCGCAAGCATTTTACAGTCTAACGTAAGTGGCAGGTGTAGTTACTTGTAGCAGATACGCTCGCCATCGCCATGCCGAGCGGGTTCGTTTGTCGGGCTGGACTGACGTTGCTGCTGGTGAGCGGGTGGCCGGCCTGTGAGCAGGTGCGCCGCGTCTGGTGAGCAGGTGAGCTTGGTGACCTGGTGGCTGAGTCCAGGGGGGACGGCGGCGAACAAACGGAAGGAAACGGAAATGGGGGGAGGACGCAGAACGCGACGGCTCTGCCCCGGCCCCGGCCCGGGCCGAAGACGAACGGCGCAATCTAGCACTTGGCTTGTTTTTATCGTGTCCCCTTGATTCGCCGTCGCTGCAAGAAACCCACCGCCACCGCCTTCGGCTCGGCCCCTCGCCACCCGCCGCGGAGGGAACGGAAGCAGTCTGCCTGCGGGGAAAAAACCGTATATAGGAATATGGAATATTTGAGCAACTTTTTGGTTCGGCTGCCGTGCCGGATGTGGCGGCGCTCAGGTGGGGGGCGGGGGCGCGCTTGTCGCGACTGACGCGGCGGATCCTGGCGGATCTGCTGCTCATGATTATGGATCGGGCGGCCCCTTAATGTAATTGCAAGGCTCGCGGGCCGGGCCTGTTTGCAGCTCGCCCACGCCACACCCCACGAGCGGCCCGCGCAGACGGATATCCGGAGAGGAAGGAAAAAAGGACGGAGCGAGGGAAAAAAAATTGTAGGAGGAAGTGTATGAGTTGGCCCCCGGTCCGTTTTTAGTCCCCAGCTCGGCCAATCAGCCGGTGCTTTCTTATCCCGGCCGAACTCGCTTATATACTGTCTCGGGCCGGCGGAGGACAGCGAGGTGGTGTGCGGGGCTGGAAGTGACAGCTTCTCTCCAGGGCTTCTCCAGGGCTCCTCTCCAGTCTCCAGGACCGGCTCCAATCATACTTCCAGGACCGCGCCACTCTGTTTCATTAGGTTTTTTCCCCCAGCAGTTGCCCCGGCCCGGAGGCCGCCCGGGCCCATGCACTACGCCGCGCCGCTCGTTGTACTGGCCGGGTCCGGATGGCGGAAACTTTGGTTAAACTCAGGAGGTCCTGATGGGGCGACGTGGTGCAGCGCGGGGCGGGGCGCGGCGCGGCGGGCTCGGCCTTATAGTCGTGTGTGGTATCCTCTGGGCTGGACGGGCTTGGCTTGCATAGCCACAAAAGTTGTTGCCGCTGCTGTGCTGCAGGTGCCCCTGCCTCTTTTCTCGTCTCTCTCCCTCTCAATCT